CATTCGCTGCGCCTCGAAGAGCACTCAAGCGAAACAATGTGTCGCATTTCTATATCTCTATGCCTTAACTGGTCGAACTAGCAAGCTGTCTGATTCTGACCGTTTGCCCTTCAAGAACATGATTGGTTACTGATTCGACTCTATCCGGCAGGGACCAACCAGTGTTGTGCTCCTGACGCTATCCGACACAGCGAAACAAGAAACACGTTTCGTGTCCTAACTTCAGTGAGCACGTGAACCGACACTTTCTTCGTGAATACCTTTGAGCGTGTGGGCCCCCTTCTCTCTCTGTGGTTGTGTTCGGACAGGACCGTGCTCTCAAGCGAGAAATTCGCCAGAAGCGGGCCACCATCGCCCGGTGAGCTACAGTGCTTCACATCTGGTTGTACGCAACGAAGCTCGCACCAAGAAATATTCGTGTGGAGGTCTTACTCAAACCCACTCCACGCGAATTCCGGAGGTGGTTGATCAAGTGGAAAGCATTGCGAGTCAGGCGGCTCAGTAGCCGGTTTCCTCCCCGCACCGAGCAGAGCATCAACGCGTTACTCAAGTCTACGGACAAACTAGTGCGAAGAGGGACGCGGGTAGAATAGTGAAATGCTGACTGTGATATGGGCGTATTCCAGTGCTGAGTGCTGTTGACGGTGAACGATGCTGGTGTTCAGGTATGAGCAACTCCTGGCCTTACCCGCACCGCCGTCCGGCCGAGACGTCCCGCGAGGCATCGGCGGAGGCTTGCACTCGTGCCTCACATGCGGGAAGATGTTCACCACTGCCGAGTTCTTGCAGCAACACATCGCCAGGAAGCATGCTCGGTACGCCGGTAGCCCTGCAGACACGAAAGTTGATCAAGAGGAGAAAACGGCGTATCCAACACAGCTGAGGCTGTTCGTGCAGGTATGACGCCGCGGCAATACACGAGACGTATTTTGATAGGAAACCACCACCGAGGAGTGGTATCTTCTGTGAAAAATCAAACATATATTCCATGGTTGCTCTGTTTCCTTCGCAGACATCATCTCGAGAGAAATTGGTAGACGTTGGCCCACCGGCGGGATGTCGTAGCCGCTACCATCCAAAGGAAGAGCTGCACTGATTGGTGGAAAACCCAACGGGTAATGTAGAGCGTTCAACTGAGTGCATGCCTCAAACTACATGTACGTAGACTGAGCGCAATAGAAGCTGGGCAAACCTCAATGTTTATGTGACGCCATCGCTATCGAATCCGCCACAGAGATATTGGTCATTTCCAAGGTTAAATAAAGATAAGCTACCACAGTCGACCTTTCCACGCCGATGCGCTCCAGACTAGTGCCGGCCAGTGCCTGGACATGATGGTTCAAGGGGGAGCGACGGTTGCGCAGCTGAGGGGGTACATCAACTCCGCGGCGGGGTACGCAGCTGCTGGTCCATCAAAACGCCTCTTGTATAGGTACAGAAAGGCCCTCAATGCTGCGAGTGCTTGTACAGCGTTGAACCTGGATAGCTCATGTCAAGAGGAGGGGGCATGGCGAGCGAAGCGGGGAGTGGCCAACCACGTTTGCCTTACCGCCCAAGAAAAACAAAAGCTACCTATGTGCCAACACGATTGTCAAAAGACGCGAGCATGCACGGCTCCTCCAAAAACTCTCCGCTAGTTGCACACATGCCATCACCAGAACCGCGCCCTCACTGAATGAAATCGCTGCTCATATCGTTCACGCGTGCGTGTGAAATTGTCAGGGGCGTGCACCTTCGTGACGACCAGACTCTGAGAGAGTGCAGCATCCCGCCAGACAGCCAGCTGGTACTTATTGACACGGAGGTAAGAGAGTCCGGTGGTCTAGTGGTATACTCGTAATCCGCTAGTCGCAGAGGTCGTGAGTTCGAATCCCGATGGGGTGAAAAATTTACGAAATTTGCGGGTGAAAGCGAAATATAGTTATTTGAAAAGCTCTCGTGAGTACCAAACTTCGACGTTAGCACCGTTGACAAGGGAAAGGGACGGCTGGACCCTTGCCGCGAAAAAAATAAAATTCAGCACGCACCGCAGGAGGAAGGTGGGGCATGAAAAAGAAATATCAAGAAGAAAAAAGCCCTGGTGTTTATTTACCCCCTCCCGTGTTGTTTGTTTTTGTTTGTTTTTCTCCCATCATTGGACTCTGTCGTCTGACCTTCTGGCCCCTATCCTCCACTTCTACTAGCTAGACGACCCAACCGGGGTCACATAGGAGGGGGGGGTTGGACCCCCTCCTGCGGTTCATGCCTGAGATATTTTTATCGCGAGAAGGGTACAGCAATCCCTTCCCTCGCGGCGTACGAAGTCGATTATGGTTTACTAACAAACGAGCTTTGCAGCGCGTCGCTTTCATCCTAGACCAGGATTTATTTAGTGAGAAAAAAACTCTCTCTGCCGGGACTCGAACCCATGACCTGGCCCTTAGCAGGCTGTGAGGCTACCCACTAGACCACCGGGCGACCGGTTCCTGTGACCCTGGATGGTTGTACTTGTACGAAAACATACACTGAAAAGTGTAGTACTCTACATACGCTGAAAAGTGTAGTACACGTCTCACCGCGAAAAATGGGGGACTGTCGCCATAATAAAATAGGACGAAAACACACACAAACACACAATGAGAACGCCCTGTCCGACCTACGAAAAAAAAATAGATACACATTGGGTGAAAAGGCCTCAGGGAGACTAAATAGGCTTGATTCCAACGGCACTATTAGACGACAGGATTCAATGTAGAAAGTGCAGCCGGAAAACCAAGCATCGTGAATGCTATTTTTCATCGAAGGCGGCCCTGTCTCGCCTGCCATCAGTATCAAACGATGTCGACGAGGAAAAGACGTCAATGTCGCCATGTCGCGACACTGCCCATTTGTCGCAGTGCTTCACCAGACATCATGCTAACCCATCACGACACCCTAACAACCGAGATATGCTCTTATCTCTACCACACGGGGTTCCACCAACATGTCGGTGTTCGGAAGCGTCGTCACATTCCCCCGCTGCCATTATGGTAACATGCACAGCGGTATTTGTGCCATTTTTTCTTTGATATTCGTAAACTGAGGACTCCGTCAACATATGTTTCCTTTGGTGTGTTTCATGAAGTCCGCAGTAGAAACAGAAAACATAAGAACGCCAGGAGAAGAGGACAACGGAAAATCTGCCGCCGTTGCTGCTCAAGAATCAGCCGCAGCGAAACAAATGGCGACCCTCATGGACCTCATGCGACAGCAAATGGAGTGGAACATGAGGAGTGAGAGCGGCAGGCGGGAGCAGGACCTAGGGTCGGCCGAAGCCCTAGAGACGAGAATGCGAGGGATGGAGGTATTATTACGTTCTCCCGTAATGGTATGCTGTCCCGCTACGATCCTGCTTTGATTTCTGCATCCAATGTGGCTGGGATGGTTCCTCCGCACTGTTTCTTTGACGTGTTAGACAACTGGCCCATTGTTGCCCCGCTCAGATGTCAGGCTCAACCGTTGGTAGGGATGAGGTTAGAGGAAAAGATCACCCGTCCTTCCAAGTCAGGAGGAGCTTGGTCAAATGGAAGACTCACTTGGTCGTTCAGAAGCAAGTGTGTAGCTGAAGTCAAGCCCCCACTGCAGACCACGTGCCACTAGAGACTACCTTGAAGCGCTGAGTAGTGTGTCCTGTACTTTTCACTCTGGTCGGGTTTTTTCATTGTTATTGCTAACTTTCTGGGCAATGCTTGTTTTAAACCGTTCCCCCGACTGTTTTTCCCATTCCGCCAGGTGTCATTCCTCTCCTTTCAGTGGTGTAAGGCGTACAAGCATTGCGCCTGTCCCTCCGTATTCACCTTTTTCTTCGTAGCTGGGGATGTCCTTCTCAGTCCTCCTAGCATGCGTCAACTCTCTCTGTTCACTTTGCGCGTTCGTTTCGTTCCAGGCGTCGTTACCTCGGCGGCTGGAGGAGTTGATGGAAGAGAGCGTCAGCGACCTCAAGGCCTCAGTACGCAAGGTGCCGTAAACCCGCAGCAGACACAGCGGTGACCTCTAGACTACTCGACCGTACCTGGCCAAAAACATATGATGCGTGTTGTGCAGCATGTGCCGGTGACATCGTGTATTGAAGGCGAAGCCCACGACAGCTTGCGATATCATTTGACCGGATTTGTTTCTGGGAAGTATGCGGCATTGTCGAGGCTTCAGTTTGGCTAGGCAAGAGAAGTGTCCACCTCGAAAACAACCCTTCTCAGTACACAGATCATGAGTTGGGCACGACGAGGAGCGTGGTCCAAACGATGTTGCCGCGCCAAGACTGTTACCGCGTTTCAGGTATGCCACGACGAAAGCACTCACACTCGTTTCTCGCCCGGTCGTTCCACCCGACAACGCGACACTCTTCCCAAAGGCTCTAGACGGTATGGAGGAACTGCATGCGAAACGGTCGAATGCTGGGGCAATTCAAGACGATGAGGACGAGACGAGAAGAATGGAGCAACAGGTGAGGTGGGACCACGCACACGTTTCAATGATTGCGCTGGAATGACCGGCACGGCTTCAAGGCGCGCCCTGAAAAAGAGTGTTTAGGGATGTCGTGTGGCGGCGGATCGTACCCGATAGTAGTGGCGAGGCTGTAAAGGGAACACCACATACATGATGTTGCATAACTATTCTACCGTGGCGCTTGAAATCAGTCACGACTTCGGCAGAGCAAAGGGGGAGCCCACGCCGAAGAACATGCAGTGTCAGCCATCCATACAATCTCACCACCCTGTTCTACCAAATCGATATGAAAACAACGCTCCGCACAGTTGATTGCCATTCAGACCCAGCCTGAAACAAGCGATCACTTCGTTATGGAACAGAGACTCAGTTGGTTCCGAAAAAACGAAAGTCGGGTTTAGAAACGCAGATCAGCGGAATACTCGAAGACGGTGATGACATATGACACTGAGCGTCGACCCGAACTTGATTGACATTTTTCAATTGCGGATCCGTTTCCATAGGAGAAGTTGCGTCTGGCCTCGCTGTCGGCGGACATGGAACGCGTTTCCAAAGAGAATTCAGCCTTGCTGCAGGAGTTGGCCAAGCTCAAGGCTTCACAAGCAGCGGCAAGCTCTACCATCCCTAGTACGATCCAAACTCCAGCGGCTGTGGTCGTGGTGAAAGAGGAATCGTCTCGACCTGAGGTGGTGGGGATGCGGGTTGTAAACGGGTAGTGGCTTGCGTGGACGACATGAAGAAGGCTTGACCCATTTTATTCCGGCTTGCGCAGTCATATTGGCTCTTGATGCACGATTTGTATGCCTTCGATGTGACAGACCGAGGCTGAAAGCTCTTGGGTTATTCGACAATTGTGGGGAGAGGGCGACGACGGTCGGTGCGTTGCCGTCATGAAATAAAACGACTGCGTACACCGTGGGGAATTCAACCCCTCACGGGGTAGCGCGCCAGCCACGCCTTCGTGGGAAAGGTTTCTCGGAAGCGTTTCTCGTTCCATCCTGAGTTTTCGCTGAAAAAAGCACGGAATCGTCCGAAGTGAAATTGAATGTCACCTGTCTACAGTAGCTACCACTAACCATCGTGCGAGCACATATCATGCACCATACAAGCTTTGCGTGAAAGCTCCGGAGTTTGCCCGCCATACGGTCGCCATCCAAGACAAGGCCCTACAGACTGCGTGAGCACAATGTAGTTGGCACGCGAGGTTACTGTTGGAGGCGACCCACTTTTCTGCCGTGTTAGAAGACGAGTCCCAGCCACACGCATGAATACACTGCGCACTCCTTCCTTATCCAACGAAATGCCGCTCCACGGTTCTTCATAGGTGTCGAAAGCTGTCTCTGAGGACCCTGTGGCACCCCCTCCCAACTCATCGCGCAACACGTCAATTTGGGAGTTGGTGAGTTCTTGCGTGACGATTCGAGGTCACCCGTGCTCACTGCGCTGCATCGTTGCAAGGTCTCATTTACGTGGGATGCCAGTGCCACATTGACTGTGGTGACAACAATCCGCAGCATGGTACGTCACGTGTTTGAGGCGCTACAAGTGATTATCTTTGCCGTGTGGATATCAAAACATGATACAATGGCGCACATGGAATGACCTATCAACCTCAAGTTTCAGTCGCGCATCCACTAGACATGCATTCACTAGACATACATATCAGTTGGGTCGGTCTTTCGCCCAGGACTCAAGTACTGGCAGGTGCCCGTCGTCTGCTTCAGTTTGTCAGGCACATATATAGTCTATGCAGGTAAAACGACCGGGACAATCAATCTCGAGGAAACGATGACAAAAGCCGGGCGCATTGTCCTATGTACGACCGCTGCCAACCATTCACACAACGTGGGGCTGTTCAGGGTTCAAGCCGCCAATACTTGATTTTTCCTTAAGGGGATGGTCATGATGACGTTGTTGGTGGTGTAAGTCTATGATGCCTGCTGATCTTCTCTCATCGTGGGCCTTCTCTGTTGGCACCTCGTATGCCGTCCTTCTTGCGTTGACGCTCACTTCAGACTTTCCCGGTGAAAGGCTCGAGACAAGCCGTTGTTGTCCAAGTGTCGCGGAAATCCACGTGCGAGACTTTGTGCGAGTCTATCGCCGAGAAGTTAGACGTCGCCGACGCAAGGATCGTCTTGCGTGACAATAGCACAGGTATCATTCCGTAAACAATCTTTAGTTCGCCGCGGAAAGAGTGCACAACTTTCGTCAAGGCTTTGAGCCTGAAGCACATCTAGGGGTGTTGGATTGGGAACAAGGTTAGACTTGTCGATTCACGGCCGTGAGCACGCAATGGAAAGTGCAAGATTGGGGTTGGTCAATGAAGACTACCCTGAGTCATATCTGGTGAAGCACAATGTCGTAGCACCCTTAAATGACCCCCCGCCGCTGCCCTCAAAACCAGTTCACGCATTCCGTGGTACAATCCACGATTCTGCGATCAATGTCAGGTGCAATGGTCCCTCTAGAGGCGTTGTCAAACGAACTCCAAGACCTGTACGGCAGGGGTGCTTTAGAGTTAGAAGTGCTGCAAGGGCATGTACTATCCGACAACGCGGTGAGGGCAAGCTCAAGGCTCAAAGTTCTTCGTTCGATATAGGACCTGTAGAATATCCATGTATTCGGAGACGTCGACACAAGCGACCACCTAGCCCAAGGGGACAATGTGTAACTACAGATAGGTACAGAGGAGAAAGCAACGTTGGTTCTTTGATTACTAGAAACCAAGTGAACGTCAGGGCTACGAAACCCATCACAAGTTCAACGGTTGGGCCAGACAAGGGAGTATGTGTCAGAGTGCGCGAGATCTGAACACCACGGCACGCACTCTTTCAATATAGACTATTCATGTTTTGCAGTTCTACGATGAATGATTTGCAGATGGGAGAGTGTCCAGTGCCTCACAACTTGTCTGACTTGCTCATTTGCTGTCGCCAATTCTTCTACTTCCGAATTTTGGCCGACATCGGATTGATAAGCGTGCACCTTGGCGCTATTGATGTTGCTCGCTGAGTCATACTTGATGATCACGATAAATTCTGTTTTTGATTCATCAGGTGGACGGACTGGTGGAATTCTACGAGAAGAACGTGCCAATTCAAGCCAAGGTACGCGAGAAAGGCAGTCCATTCATTGCATCACCCTCATCGCCTTGTATGGTTTACTGTCGTCGCGTCTGTTGAGGCTCCTGAAGACTTGGTTCGGCGGGGCCACGCCAGTTCAACAACAAATAGTATATACGTGTGTATCTGGCTCACGTCTCCCAGGGTGGGCGCCCCTGAACCCGTGCTGGTCGTTCTTCTTGCTTCTCGAATGAGTTCAACGCTCCAGGCACTGTGTACAAACATTCTCAATCTGCCGTGTATCGATATTGACAACTTTCGCAGTCTTGTGCTTATGTTGGTCCTTTCGTTCCGAGCGCATAGGAATTACTCGTCGTATTAACTATTGAGGTGTTTCACTGCAAATTTGCCTCTGTTGATATCGCGAGACAATGGACGGTAACAACATTCGGTTTGCAATCCTACACGATTTACAGGAGTCTTCGGTGGTGGGACAGTCTATGGCCGAGATCGATTTGGCTGCCAAACGGCACGTCAACGTCGGCCAGAAGGGGAATAGGGGCGACGAAGCTTTACTGGGACAATGGGGAGATCATGCCGAAGTCGGCACTGACCACGCCGAAAAGCAGGTGGGCGCAGGAAACATGGGGAAACTACGTTGCCATATGTTGCTCAACATCGTGTCAAGTATCGGCCCAAGGCACAGGCTAGGTTCAACAGGGGTGACGGCTTTAATGGTGATGGTGTAGATGAGGCTTCTGTTCGCCGAGAAGGACGCTCTCAGTCTCAAACCGATTGGACGCCGCGGTATGATCTGGAGTGAAAAGCTATCCCCCGCGGGCTGCACTGCACTCTCATGTGCCGCGATAGGTCTCAGATGGCTTCCTTGAAGGGATACACATACCTTCTTCGAGAGTACGAAGCTCGACGTCTCATTAGCACCATGTGGCCGAGGCCTGTCCAGATCGTGAGTAGATCGCGCCCCGCTTGCACACTTCAAAGATTAACAAAACCTCCAAGGACGATGTATCCAGCCGTGGACTTGTAGCGTCTGGCAAGAAGTCAACATCATGTGCCATCGCCGAGTTAGTAGCAATACCTTTCTGGTGTTACCTTCTTCGGCCAGGTCGAAAGCATCCGCGCACAGCTCTCGGCAACCCTGATGGCCGAACGCTTCCCGGCCAACAACTTCCACCTCCCCAAGAGCGCCAGCATCAGCCGCACCGCCCCTGGCCTGGGTCTCACCGCCAGCAGCACCCCCAAGGGCGGCACCGATGGCCTTGGAGAAGGAGACATATTTGTTGATAACGAGGGGGAGGGCCAGCTGTCACTTGCGGAGCTCGAGAGGACAGTGGAGGAGAGGAAACGGATGAGACCACCTGGAATGGAACGTCAGGTGCCACAATTTACTTCGGTTTTGTTGTAATATTTCGGATGCGCGCCTTGCGGCATGAAGGCAAGCTCAAGCTTGTCGGGGTTCGTTGTGCTTCGGTTGAAGGTTCTTTGGCCTGGATGGAAATTGGGTGGGTGCAAATACTTGGACTTGCTCGGGGGAAAAGAACTACCTTGACGTTGTCCAAAGAACCAGGTGAGCATAGTCTTATTGCGCCTTGCAGATCTTATTCCGTTGCTCTAATATCGATTCCAATTTATCCAGATATCGCAATGCCGCTAGAAGCTGATGTTCACGCCAAACCAAGAGCCATTCCTGCGGGCGCGTTCCGATACATATCCGGCCTGGCCATAGTTTGTGGTATTTTCCCGTCGTCACGCCCGTTCACCAAAGCACGTCAAGGTTGACGAACGAAATACTGTGTTCTCAATCAGCAGGGAGGTTGATACAATCCCTTCTCACCCACCTTCTTCACTTTGCTCTTGCGCGCAATTCATTTTGCCAGATGGAAAGCGTGTCAAAGTCCATGGAAAAACAACTCAACCAACTTCTGGAGGAGGCGGAGGAAGAGCTGCAGCAGCTAGAGGAAGACAGTCTCGGGTACGGCGCTTTGAAAACGAAGAAAAATTCAATCAACATCCACCGAGATTCACCCATGGGACCAGTCCATAGTCGTTATCTGCGTTTGATGGTGTTGACCGCGATGATCGTCTGTGAACCCTTAGACACGTTCTGGTTCTTTAGGCGCGGGTACGAGGTGTAGTGAATCCCCGAACAGACGAGAACCCGCCTTACAGGGCACACGCTCCCTCCCCCGGTTGTCTCCCTTTCGTCTTCCAGGAGTGATACCTACAGCTCCACCGATCCCTCGGAATACGCGGCTGTCCCGCCCTTAGCAGACCCCGCGCGAAACAGCAGGAGCTTCCAGGCGGTGGACGCGGAACATGGCCACCCATTCGGCAACTCACGCCAACAGCGGAACAGTTTCGAACCGCGCTCGAAGCGCCCGGGGGAGGGGAGGCTAGAGGACGAAGACATTCCCAAGAGTGACTGGGGCAGGACGTTGGACACGACGGTCTCTATCCCGGAGGGCGCGGAGGAAAGGGCTGACCAGCACGAGGCGAACGCGTCCCGTGAGCACGACCTCCAACACGGTAGTATTTTTGGCGATGGTGACAGCGAGGATGCTGCACCAACGGGGATGGCGTAGGAGAAAGGAGATGTGGACATGACCGCGCTTGGTGCCTTGGCGATATCCCGGGCAAGGAAGGAGAGGCTTATTTTCTGTGCGAATTTGGTGACTACGGTGGCGGGCGCCAGTCTGAAATGAGATATCCGTTATTTGGCATAGATGCGAAAGGTCTGAGCTTGCGGTTGCCGATCAGCGTCGTTCGTGGCATCCCTGCAATGTCTGCCGGATGTTCCTCGGAGTCGGTGTCAGGTTCTCGGAAAAGTGGTCCTCCGTACATGTCAACCATTTCTCAAACGTTCTGTTGCAATGCCCAGCCAGTGAGTTCGCCGCAGGTGGTGTGGAATGACTCGTAGTCTTTGATACGTACGAAAGCTATTCATGCCTACCCTGAACCTAATCCTATTCCTAACCCTAAACTTAATCCCAATCAATAAAAACAGCGGGGAACCGCACGGCCTAATCCTGACCCTAGTCCTATTGCTAACCCTAATCCTAAACAATATTAGTAGCGGGGAACAGCACGAGCTGTTCGGTTCTACACGACGCCAAGCCAAGCGTCTGACATGATCACTCAGCAAGCAACGGCCTTGGCCGGACGACACCGACACACCAAGCACTCTCGATTGACAAAAAAGCTCCCCACAGCAGCAGCAGTTGTGCCGACACATCCCTCATTGAGGGCAGCGTCGACTGCTTCAGCTACGATGGTCGTCGCAAGCAGGCTTTAGTTGATTGAACGGAGCGCACGAAAAGCACTTTCAGCCGGAACAATTCGTCGGAACATCTCCCCGCGCCTTCGAATTGTTGATTTACCATTCTTCGTGCGTGTACCACCCGCACCTTCAACACCCACACAGAAGATAGCCCTGACCGAAACCACCCGTCCCTGGCGTAGCCGTTGATGTGTATCGCCCCTTCTACCAAAAGATATTGACTTGCTACCAAAACCGCTGTGGCTGTACGATTATTTCCAACTCTGAACATCAGCTTGTGCAACAGCGCTTTCGTCCGCTTGGAGCCAGGCTCCAGTACTGTGCAGCACAGATTCCCCTGACATCTTCACTACCGGACTAAGCCAAAACGTCTGACCTTCCCACGTATTCGAAGTGGCGGCCATCACGGTTAGCAACCGATGGGAAAATCAGCAACAACAGACGGACGTGGCAGCGCGTGTGACGTTGTTCTAGTTAGCACCGATCGTATTAACCTGCTAGCCAATGAAAAGACGCCAGTTCAACTTGAGGCGTATGGAGTCAACCAAAGAAGTGAATCCGGGATCCAAGCGGTGGTTGGGAGAGTGAAACTCAGAGAAGTGCACAATTGTGGAACGAGGTCTCGGCACAGGAGGGGGGCAGATCGACGAGGACGCATACCAGATACACATACGAGGCAGGCGGCATCCTCTCAACGCACAATGCCACGGCTCAACCTCCCCCACGCCTTTAGTTCCACGCTATATTTACAAGAATGAAACCACGAGGCGAAAAATTCCCTCCTCCTGCGCGCGCACGACCCAGTAAACGCATGATCGGAAGGCCTCCTCGTCGACCCCAACTACGCCAACCCTGCTACTGCCCTCGTTGTTGCCACGATGCCTTCCTCGGCAAGGTTGCTTTTCGTCTCGAGCGCCAACGGCCTTCGCTACTACTGCACCAGCCGCCACCGTTGATCCACAGATCTCCACCATCGTCCTTCCTGCTTCCTCACCCCCCCCGACGAGCTCTCCCGACCAGTTCGCTTCCCGCGCTCGCATCATCACGGTCCAAGACCGGCGACGCCATGCCCTCTCCGCAGGAGCCTTGGTCAGCACAATGAGTATCCGTTCGCGCATGGCCGGGTCCCCGCGTAACCCCCCAGCCTCCTCGTCCAGCCCGTCTCCCAGCACCTCAGCGCAGGTGTGGTTATTGTTGTCTCGTGCGGCTTCGTCCGCGCCCCGGTTGAGCAGGGTGGAGACGATCGCGAAGTCCATCATCGAGCAGGCGTGATGCAACGGCGTTTCCCCGTGGGAGTTGGTCGCCTGAAAGTCAGCCCCGGCCTGCTCCAACCGATGAATGGGGCCAGGGGTTCCAGGGCAAGAAAAGTATGCTTTGTGCCATAGACTCACAACGGTAGGTTGATTCTTCAGCAGTGTCCATGGAAAAGAACAAACCCGTTTGGCTGTCTGGGGATGGAACAACGCACGCAATAATTCCCACGACAAGGTCAGCGAAACGAGACACTCAAACGCAAACACCCGCACCTCCAGTAAGGTCGTGAGAACGCCGTAGGATCCTTGAAAAGCTGCCAAGTGTAACGGCCTGTTGAGCGTGCCGGCCTGCACCTCCTCCGTAGACGCTCCCGCCCCCAAGAGACATCGGGCTACTCCAACGTTGTCCACGGCGGCAGCTGGTGTTGAAGGGTCGCATGGAAAGGCCGGCGAAGAAAGACAACTTGTGACAAGAGAAATGATGGGCAATGTAGTTAGCCTACGGGTGTATTGCACAGTCAGGCCCCAACACATTGGGTCGCCCCGGTGGTCTAGTGGGTAGCCTCGCAGCCTGCTAAGGGCCAGGTCATGGGTCCGAGTCCTGACAGAGTGAGTTTCTTCTCGCTAATTAAATCCTGGTCTCCGTTGGAAGCGACGCGCTGCAAAGCTCGTTGTTAGTAAACTTGATCGACTTCATAAGTCGCGAGGGAAGGGATTTCTGTACCCTTCTCGCGATAAAAATATATCAGGCAGGAACCGCAGGAGGGGGTCTAACCCCCCCCTCCCATGTGATCCCGGTTGGGTCGTCTAGCTGGTAGAAGTGGAGGATAGGGGCCAGAGGGGCAGACGACAGAGTCCAATGATGGGAGAAAAACAAACAAAAAAATAAGCAAAACATTCAGGTGAACAGGATGCAGGCCACGATGCACACAGCACCGCCCCAGGCAAAAACGTACCGATGTGCAAACTCGTGACTCCTTCGGTGTCAGGAAGGTCAACGTCTGCACCCCAGCGCAGGAGCTCCTCCGTGACGGCTCTGTCGCCCAGAGTCGCGGCGGCATGCAACGGCGTCCGCCGCTCCCACCCGCCGCTCCGGATGTTTACATCCGCTCCAGCAGTCAGCAGAGCCTTCACGGCTCCTAGCCCACCCCTCCCACTCGCGCAATGCAAGGGAGCGAACCCTTGGGCGGTCAGGGCGTCCCTGTTGGCTCCTCCCGCAAGCAATACGTGCACCATGCCTTCCAGTCCTCTCCCGCATGCAACGTGCATACTAGCGAGGCCTTGGAACGTTGCCTCGAGATCGGCGCCCGCCTGAATAAGGAGATGGACGACCGAAGCGGGAGCCTTGATGGTGGCCCTGTGTATGGGTAGCAGGCCATTGTCGTCTCTTTCGTTTAGCACGTATCTGTGAAGGCAGCAAGACCGTCGAGAAGGGCGGCGACTTTTGTCAGAGGCTCCAATTAAACACGATCTGTGCCGAGAATATATTGCAGCTTGCATCAGTTTCACGACCGTGCATCACCACCCGTGATGGTCCCACAAACTGAGTGAACGTGTTTTTTCTTGCGTGTGTGTGATTTGGCGTGCCCTTCAAGCTGCGGACAGGTACATGCTCAAGCGCGCACCGCAAGACACACCCACTATTAGTTTGCCACGAGCTTCTCGTAAAATAGCACAATGGTGGGAATATGCCAACTCCGAGCATGTACGTACGTGTATGTTGTGCAGGGGTTGTGGCGGATATGCATGCGGAGGGCGACTTGGACGTTGCCTGCAGCAGCCACAAGACACAAAATAATACTGGGAGGTGCTTGTCGCGGGTAGCCACCTGTAGCGGACCATTGGAACTCGGAATTCGAACGGGACTACAGCAGCATCAATCTAGAACTACTCCCTGTAGGCTGAACGCTTGACGTTCGGAAATGGAATGGAATGGAATGAAATGGTAAAGGTATGTATTCTCGCTGTTATGCGTTTGAATTTCTACCCACGGAAATGAATACAGTAGGGGGGCCAATATAAGGCGGTGGTGTGCGTGGTGAATACAACCGCCTTTTATCGGGCAGCCTCATTCATGAATGAGACTGTAAACCGCCTAATTTAGGGCGAAATACATAGGTTTACAGCGGTTATCACCTCACGGCACGTTGTTGAGTGGAAGAGGATGGTCACGGGCACCATAATGGTATGCACACACACATGTATGTTAGTTTGCGAACGAAATATTTTCAGCAGCGGCATGTACAACCGATCAGGTGTCACAGCGGGGAACAATCGACTCTGTTACTTTCTAACCCTAACAGTCAACATGGACCCACCATGCAACGATTGGAAATCTATTGTGTATGTACCGAAGAAACGCATCTATTCTGCGTCAATGGCGCTTGCCCCCTGGGTACGGGTTAAGCACTACTTCCCCCGGAGCTTGTATCTCTGAAAACACATGCCCCTCTTTGCAACAAACTTGCTCGATGTAAGACAACAGCTCAAAAATAATTGCCAACAAGGATCCTTCAGGGTAATTTCACGCGGTACTTTTCCCGCGGGAACTCCACGGGAATAGTAGTTGGCAACGTCTTACCGTGCTAATCCGCAGTTAGTTACCGTATCCGCCCAAACCGTTCTCAAGGAAATGGCCTTCTTCCGTTCCCATCCAACACAATTACGGTGCATCGCCGGGCGGCGTTGCCATCCAACGTTACCGTGCAATACGTGGTGGCCAGTTGCTGTAACATTCAAGTATTTCGGTGCATTGCCGTGGTGGCTGCTTCCCGTAAGGAAATGCCGTGGTGGCTAGTTACCACCACCCCAGTATTACCGTGCAGTCCGCTGTTGTTGGTTGCCGTAACTACAGTGATGACCAGTTACCATCCGGAAAATACGTGAATTACGGTGGTCGATGGTTCCCGTACCAATCGTTACTATGGAGAAATCGGTAACGAGAGGAGCCTTGAAATTTCTACCATCCGTCTACAAGAATATGTTCTCATGTCCGGTTGCCACACGGGTTTAGCTGTGCAACGTGATAACTAATTTTCAGATAGATCCGGGCGTTGTATGTGCACTCGCTCAGATGCTTCCCAGAGGGTGCACTCACGCGAAGATGATCACCGCCTTACATCGGGTTTGAGATAGGCAGATACCGCCTTATACCGGGCCAGACCCCGTATAAGGCGGTGGCCGCCTAATACCGGGTTTATACCGGGTCTGAGTTGTGGACGAAAACTTCGACCGCCTTATATCGGGCCCCCTACCGTACGTATTTCGAAACTCCTCAGACAGACATGTACAGCAGTTGCGAAGAAGTGCGGCGGAGCCTACCACCAACTCTCGGCTTGGTGGATGCCTTCGCTGACTTCGCCGTAGGGCGTTAGCCTAATCCATCGCCCAATATGCTGCATAACTTGCTGTGAATGTGAATCTTGATGTCTTGATGTCGTGGATAATGGTTCCGACCAGAAAAATGCCCCTGCTGATACGAACCTCGCCTGCCTGTGGCAGTACTAGACTACTTGAGAGTTTTATAGCAGTTCGTTGTCTCTGGTAAATAGAGGTATGCTTCCTGATCCTGCGAAGCACCCACCCACATCGCTCACCCCTCACCCCGGAGTCTACAGCTCTGTGTAGGCTTCGCCGTAGGGCGTTAGCCTAATCCATCACCCTATGCTGTGAATGTGAATGTTCATGTAGACTAGTCTATGTCTTGATCGTGGATGATGGTTCTGACCATAAAAAAAAACTGATACGAACCTCGCCTGTGGCAGTTCTCTCTTGTTGAGAGCTTTGTAGCAGTTCGTTGTCTCTGGTAGATAGAGAGATGCTTCCTGATCCTGCGAAGCACTCACCCATCCATATCGTTCACCCTGCACACTACTCTGCTGTAGTCTAGTTAGTCTTAATGCACTCCCACAAAGGGTCGGAAAAGTACGGGAAGACTTCGTTCGTGCTGAACGGCGGACGGAACGGACCCTTGCTGCGCATGCGAAACAAGTGGCACATGTTTGCTCTCTACTGACTGCGCACATGTATGCTACCGGTCGCCCCGGTGGTCTAGTTGGTAACCTCCAAACCTTCGAGAGGTCAGGTCAGGGGTTCGAATCCCGGCGTAAGCGAGCTTTGCTTGCAAAGTGAGTTTTTCTCTCGCTTCCGCTCCTGGCCTAGTGAATAGCGCTACATACACAGTTCGTGTGTACACAGAGGGAAGAGAGTGCTGAACTCTTCTCGCACAAAAAAATCGAAGGCAAAGTACCGCAGGAGGGGAGGGTAGAGAGGGGCTCTTCTGTGTCACCACGGGTTGGAGTAAACGGCACCAGTGCCGTGAGATCTGATTTGAAGTAACAAAAAAAAAATGCACAGCTCGAAGCCCCTGTAGGCGTGCCAGGGGATTTCGTGTGTGGAACTTGCAAGAGCACTATTTACGTGTGTAAATGCCCCGTTTTTATTGACACACGAAACCCTCTCGCAAAAACTACAGCAGTCTAGACTACTCCCCCTATCATCATGTGCATACCTTCCACCCTGTTGTAACGCACACGCCACACTCGCATTGTCTCCTGTCCCGATCGCTCGTACAAGTCGGTTCAAGCACCTTCTTCTCCATGCCTGCTGGGCCTCGGGGTTGGGCATGCCTCTACGACACTGGATGTTCGTGTGAACGCGGTGCTGCCTAAAAGCGAAATTCTTTAGTCACTCCATGCAATGGGAGGAGAGGCCCCTCCCTCCCTGTGTGTGCACGGACGGTCACGAGCCACGGATGGGAGGTATGCGATCGAATGGAACCTTTTCTTCGGGATTCGACCGCTTTCTGCCTGCTTGGCCTTGATGACATCTTCTGCATGAAAGATGCGTGCGGGGTGTGACGGGTACGCTTTCGAGCATGGTGATGGAAGTTCCAATGGAAGGTGACGTTTACAGCAGTTTCTTCAGTTCCGATTTATTGCGGGTTGAAATGGGAGTTTAAATTTTGGGCTGAGAGAGAGCTTGAGACGCGTGGTAGCTGTTCGTGGGCAGCCATCTGGCTGATATTGCTAGTCTAGCAATAGTATACATAGCTGCAATAGTATACATAGCTGCCGGGAGACATTTTTTTTGTCGTATCTCTTCCCATCATAACATAAAAGGTCCTTCTGCCCTGCATGAACAGCACCGGCAAAAACAACAAACGGTCGTCTCTGCGCGCTGAACATTTTTTTTTTTTACATGTGAAATGCGGAATAATTACGGTAGCACATACGCGGAGCCCCTTGGGAGGAGGGGGGGAGGCACAAGCAGAGGAGCACGCAACCCAACGGCAAAACAAAGCTGAAAGGCAAGGGACGATTCACTTGTCGAGAGCGAGAACATCTCTGCAACAGGAAGGCTGGAGTGAAGGAGGAGGTCGTCAGCGTGTTCCTGAAATCTTGGGTGCCAAGGTGAATTCCCTTCCCAGCTACTAACACAGCAATGTGGGTTGGTGAGATGTCAAACACACGGCCCCTCGTACTTGCGTTGTAGACTATCGTAAGAACAACCTCGACAAAGATTGTACATACCGCTTAATAATTAAGGAGAATAATAATGTACGTGCTGGCAATCACAATGCTCCGGCGGACGACTTCTTGCTCTCATTAACGTCATATTTTTAGGCACGAGCGAACGTAGCACCGAAGGACAGACGTGTTTGTGCTTTTGCCCGCGCGGGGAATACTAGCTCTTCTTGCACAGAGCGCCGCCTGCGGGCAGTGTAATGTACCCAGCAGCAGACCAGACCTTCAACGCGGATGAGGAGCAGCGTATACTGAACCCGTCATATACTGAAGCCTCCTACGATGAAGTGCATATCTTTCTTGCATATGCGTAGGAGCTGCTGAGTATGCCGCTGCTTGCCCCCCGCCCCCTGCCGTCGGCCGCAATCGTATGTTGTTCCCCCGCAATTGGTAGCCCCCAACTTTTTTTTTTCTGCATACAACACGAACGTCGCACCTAGCTGAACTTGTTCACCATCGTCGCGCCTCACGCCTACTGCTGTACAGTTTTTCTTGTGCAGCGAAAACGACAGAAGTTTTTTTTCTCTCTTGTCTACGCCTCGACGTTCGGATATCAAGGGCGTCTGTGTATTTCGCCTGCCGTATTTTCTCAAAACGTCGAGGTAGCAGTGTTGAGGTGGGCGGCACACACGCATCCTGCGCCCGAACGTAGCAGGGCCATCTGGCCTCATATTCGAATGGTAAATGCATCCACGAACACGGTGCCTACAGCGGTCTAGACCGTGTTCAGCCTCTGTGCAGACGCCGACTATCAATGCCGTCGATGCAGCTGGGTGAACAGGAAGGTCTTTGCAACCTTCGGCGCAGCTTAACCGCAAAAGAAGAAATACCAATTCTGGTAAATAGCACAGCGACGTTGCCGGACCCCTCTCTTAAGTGGCTTAACCTGTGGCCGGTCGCCCCGGTGGTCTAGTTGGTATCCTCGAAACCTTCGAGAGGTCAGGTCAGGGGTTCGAATTCCGGCGTAAGCGAGCTTTTCTTGCAAAGTGAGTTTTTCTCTCGCTTCCGCTCCTGGCCCAGTGGACAGCGCTAGTTCGTGTGTACGCAGAGGGACGAGAGTGCTGAACTCTTCTCGCCCTAAAAATCGAAGGCAAAGTACCGCAGGAGGGGAGGGTAGAGAGGGCTCTTCTGTGTGACCACGGGTTGGAGTAAACGGCACTGCTAGTAGTACTGTGAGCGCTGATTTGAAGTGAACAAAAAAAAAAACTATTGGAAATAGACCTGAATCATTACCAGTGCGCATTTCTGTCGGCGATACTGCTGTGCTAGAAGTCGGTACACGATCTTTTCTCTGCACTCGATTACTCACACCTGCACTCGTGCTACCGCGCCGACAGGCGAACCTCGGCAACATCAGCCCTCTACTCCTCGAGACGGCACGCCGTGCGCGCGTAGCATCACCGCACACCACTTTCGCTAGGAATGCCTGCTGGCCCGCTAGGAAACCCGCCGCCGCAGGCGACGAAACGAAGAGGCACTACGGGCGACGGGGACAGAGATGTAGGCGTCGACAGGGACGAACAAGAAGCCTTGAGCGAGGGGGAGGCGGTGGCGAGAGGGCTAGCGGAGGAGCGGATGAACCGCACGCTGTCGCTGCCGGAGTGCCCGTGCCTGCGCCAGCCGCGGGTCGTCAGCTACGCCGAGGTCGGCGACCCCAAGGGCTTCGTTGCGTTCTTCATCCTGGGGGTGGACTCTCACCGTTACATGTCGTTCCTGCTGGACAAGCCTGCCAGAGCCAGGGGGGTCCGGCTGCTCTGCCTTGACCGGCCGGGGAGGGGAAGAACGAGCGACTTCGAGGACGAAAAGTGAGCGCCAAATTACACCTGAAGAAAGTGCCGTGACTCAAGATAGCACCCCCCCCCCTGGACGAAGGCTGGGGTACTCCACGATGAAGATGATCCGTAAATGAATCGTTTTTCGGGAAGCTCTGTGTAGCAATGTGTAAGTGTCGAGGTGCCCTTTACCCAAGGGCTGTCCGCAGGCGGTGAAGCCTTTGTCCAGTTCCAGACAGAAGACTGCTGTGTGATGTACAGACCAAAGTCTATGCAGACCAAAGCCTGTTGAGGCAGTGACCGAAGTCGAGGATGTTGCTAGTTGCCGGTTCAGGGACTTGCACTTTCTTGTTCTTCAGCTTACATGCAGAGTTGAGATGTTGAGGGATAGTTGGGAGTGAGCACGGTGGGGCTCGCAACACCTCTGGTCTCGCTACAATTACAATCCTCTGATCAACCACCGATTCATTCACGAGCTCCTCGCTATGGACTTGTCGCTACATGTTGCGTTCTACCAAACGTCACTTATCATTCCGCATCTATGTATCATTGTATACATCATTCATACAGCTGCATCTATACTATTACACACATCCTACAGCAGTAATGTGATGTATTTCAACACGCCCCCATGATGAATGCAATGTTACGCTTCAACCTCATCATTGTCGTAAATCTACTGCTCAAATCCTGCAGTCTATGTTTTTTTTTTTTTCTCGCATCATTGGACTCTGTCGTCTGCCCCTCTGGCCCCTATCCTCCACTTCTACTAGCTAGACGACCCAACCGGGGTCACATAGGAGGGGGGGGGTTGGACCCCCTCCTGCGGTTCATGCCTGAGGTATTTTTATCGCGAGAAGGGTCCAGCAATCCCTTGCCTCGCGACTTACGAGGTCGATTATGGTTTACTAACAAACGAGCTTTGCAGCGCGTCGCTTTCATCCTAGACCAGGATTTATTTAGTGAGAAAAAAACTTTCTCTGCCGGGACTCGAACCCATGACCTGGCCCTTAGCAGGCTGGGAGGCTACCCACTAGACGACCGGGGCGACCGGTATGTGTACCTCCTACATTATTTAGTACTCCTGCATTACTCGCGCCCCCATAAAGTGGTATATGTATTGCTCGTGCTTCAACATCTGCCCCTCAGATACTATCCTTCTCTTCAGTTTGTTCCCATGCTACGATCCTTCTCATTCTTTCTCACCACATTTACCCTTGTCCCTCATCATCTTAGTAACACGTTTCGTCATGCTTTCTTGCCTGCTTTTCACTACATTTATCACAGCGTCTTGTATGCATAGGATTCCTAGTTTTTTCTCCACGGTGTGTTCCCAACACTTGACAGTTGTCTCCTTACTTTATTTCTTTTTATGGTTTCGACACTCTGCCTGTGCTTTGTTTTCATAACTTCGGTTTTAAACCCAGTCCACATCCGACCTAACGCCTTCCTTCATTTCCTTCAAAGGTTCAGCCATATTGATGTGAGGAGACAACTGTCAAATGTCGTGAACACGTTGTGTAGAACAAAATAGGAATGCCGCAAGACGCTGTGATAAATGTAGTCAACAACAGCTCATCATTTCCAAGAAAGCACGACAAAACGTGATAATTCATCACTCTGGACGAGACGAGAGTTCTAGCGCCAACGTTTTCCACACTGCCACTTTCTCTGCTGTGTGGAGAATTCGAGCTTCGAAAGTCGGTCCAGGTTTTGTATGCATAGGTTGAATCGTGCCAACGCTTGAAGGAAGCAGCGGCACGGCAGGACATCTTGGCTACCGCGGTCGGTTCGAGTAGCAAGCGCATGGCGATGTTTGCCTGCCTTGTCTTGAAGAAACCTTTGGTCTTGAATGAGGATTCGGGGACCAAGAGCTCTGTGAAATGATCCCCCGTTGGTTTCTATACATGTTTCCCCTCATTTGTGTAAGCACACATCGGCTTTCGTCGCTCTTGCGTACCATGCACGTGTCGAGGTGGTTAATGTCGTGGACGGCATCAGGCGTAGCCCAAGTGATCGTTCATTTTTTACGACCCCTGTGTATGCCCTCGAACCTGGCATGCATGAGGGTCACCTAGAAATAGGTGTAGCGAAGCGTGTGTTCAATCGCTGACACGTTTTCCCTCGAGCCTGGCACGCAAGAGGGTCATAAAAACATCTCGTGGATAATCGCCTGAAAAACGTGCTCCTACACGCACGGTCGCACACCCGCAGGGCAAATCGCATCCTCGAGTTTCCGGAGATATTGAGGCACTTCTGCGTAGAGGCGGGGATCAAGTGCTTCTCGTTAGTGGGGCAGTCACTCGGTGCGAGCTACGCGTTGCGCTGTGCACAGGTGTGTGGGTATGCTGGAGTTTTCGAGGCGCTATTTGTTTAGCGGGCAAGCTGGTGTTATTGTAGCTGGAGCTGGGATACTGCTGCTCCTCCATTATGGGCTGATATCTCTCCTATGTTGTGTACCGTGGGTTTCATGAGATACCACATCATCTGTACCGAATTCCAAGCCCCCGTTGTTCCACGATAAAGACGACGCCGAGGTCAAGTGATACATTTTCGGAAAGCTCTCGACGAGACTGTCCCAAAGCCATGTCTGGCACCGCCATTCCTTCTACTGAGTGTTCGAGCTTTGGAAATCGGTCCAGGAGGTGGGGTGTGATATCTCATGTAGACCATATCCTACGGTATTGAGAGGTTTGTGTGGTTGCGCAGATTTAGGGTTAGGGTTCGCTCTTTGAGCTTGGAGGCGAGTCCTGGGCAGCTCTGTCTCGTACGAATGTGTTGGAAGAACGTCCATCCGAACAACAGTAGTAGGGAGTAGATGGTTGTGGAAGGTCCTCTGTTTTGACGGGCAGATCTGACTTTTTTGCGCGAGTTTGTTGGACCCGGCCCATCCGAACAATACGGATTGTCTCGTTTTGTGCGTACTGATGGCGCTCTTGCAAACCGGGTAGTGGGAGACTTCGTTGTTGTTACCCCCACAAGGGAGATGTGGTCAACCTCTGCCGCGTGCGGCAGAGCGTCAATGATCCGGTCAAGGTTGATGACTGCTACGGGATGGGCGCAGGTATTATATTCGAGACCTTGCTGCCACCATCTCTCTCGTGCCGAATCTCTCGTAGGAGCACGTCTGATTTTTGCAGTAGGGTTGGCGCCAACGGTTGGCACATCATAGCTAAGCTTGGATCCTCAGGTTGAAGCTGAGGTTGGCTCCTCATGTCAGAGCCAAGCTTGGTTCCTCGCGTCAGAAGCTAAGCGTGTTTCCTCGCGTCCAAGCTAAGCTTGGCTCCCCAGCTGCCAAAATGGTTGGTATCTTATGGAGGCGTCGCCATGTCCTCTCATCCTCAACATTCACCTCTTTCTGTCGCAACGTCGTCTCCAGGAAATGCCTGACAGGGTGGCGACAACCGTGTACCTCATCAGCCCCTGGGTGCCGCTATCCGTCCCTGGATCCAGCCGGGCCCTCGCCACGGTGGAAAAGTTACCAGAGTGAGTCAAGGGGGGGTCCGAAGAGGCGGGTGTTGTCTTTGTGGGCAGTGATGGTGTTTTTGCCAGGTAGAGGTGGTACGGTGATGGTAGTGATGGTGGTGTTCTCGTCAAGGAGCGGTGGTGGTACCCTTACCAAAGGGACGTGGGATGTGGAAGTGATGGTGCGTGTTCTCGCCAAGTAGTGGTTTTCGTGTTGCTCATGTGGTGCCGCTGTGTGCCGCTTGAAGCGAGAGGGGGAAGCAGGGATGGTCCACCGTTCGAGCCGGAGTGTTGTCGGTCCGTGTGACGTACGATACGCTGCACGGGGTCGATCAGTGCCGTGGGGGGGGTGTCGTCGTGCATGCAGATAGATACATGTGTAGATGTACGATTTCGCGCCTCGACAGGAACCAGAAGCGCGATTCACCTCCTGGTGTTGGCGTCCGCAAGTCCCAAGGGGAGAATGCATGTCGATGTTTTGCCCGAAAGCGCGGAGAGAGAGGCGATACCCCGCTGGTTCGAATGCCTCCAAAAAAGTAGCAAGCCACATCCGACACATTTTTTCCACGAGACGTTAACGGGTCAAGGTGTAAAGTGCCCATCATTTTTTTTTTAGGTTTTTGCCGCCTCGATCCCCCTGTGTGTTATCTTCTCTGGACGATGATGCCACTTGACAACTACACCACGTGGGAAACAGGTGGGTAATCAAGACCGGGATGGCCATGGGTAGCGCCATGCCTCGACTGCTGGCGGCTGCGGGAGGCCTTGGCCTGATGGTGAAGGGGTGCAGCGAGGGAGAGAGCCCGATGGCCGGGTCTCAGACAACGGCCGAGGTGCGTTGCTGGTACACTGCCGGTGTCACGGGGGCCCCGTGTATGTACAGGGGGGGGGTAGGCGTATGTTGTCGAGGCTGAACGCGGCACTGTTGCTACTCGTTGGGCAAAGAAAGGGAGTGCCAGACAGAGGCTTGTAGCACCATGCCTCGGCTGCTGGCGGCTGCGGGAGGCCTTGGCCTGAATGGGAAGGGGCTACCGATCGACCTCCTCCGGCTGCCGTAGCGATGTGTCTACTGGCATGTCTCCCGGGTTCATGCTACGGTGTCGTCCGTTTCTTGGTAGAGCCGCAGTGCAACATGACGAGACAAAATATGTTCCAACCAGCGCCAGTTTGAGACACCAATTGGCATATCGCTCAAGAGCACCCTTTTTTCGTTCAGCTCAAGTGGAGGATGGAGGGGATTATGGCGCGTGTGTTGGCAACTCGCCACACTGTCTCCCCTTTTTCACCACATGGTCTTTCCCCAAGCGTCCCCGCTCTGGCGCTGTGCGTATGTACCTCACCGGTTCAAAGAACGTCAACGAATGTCCTTCTTTTTTCGCTGTTGCATTGGTGTTCAAGTCAATCTCTACACGTCTGATATTTGGTGTACTACCTGGCGCCGACGGATTTTTCTATGCCTCTCCGCTGTTGTTGTTGTTGGCCCCGGTTTTGCGAAAATTCTTCCTCTCCAACGCCAGCTCGGCTTCTCCCGTTGTAATCGACCTGTTTTTTTTTTTTGCGCATAGGTGCTCAAGGCGGTCGGGAGCGCGGGAGAGCAGACCCACGGGGTGGCGATGGACGCCCTTGCCGCCCTCGAGAAGACCCAGCCGCTGGGGTTCGACTACCGAGACGTGTCCATGCCCGTGCACGTCTTCCACGGGAGGGCGGACCACATGGTGAGACGCCTGCGGACCACACGTCTCGGGTGTGTGTGTGTGTTTTTTTGGCATCGGCCGCGCCAACCGGCTGACGAATGAAAAGACGGGGGGGTGTTTTGTGTGTGTTTCGCCTGCCGCTGCTGTAGGTTTAGGTTTATGAGTACATATTTTATTTTGTTTTTTCTTGTTGCACAGGAGAACGGACCATATGGTGGGGCTGCGGACCGCACGTCTCGGGGGGGGGGGGGG